TATAAAAGCAGAAAAAGCTGTTGTGTTCACATGTTTCTGCTTCATGCTGTTTAACCCTCTCTAAGCTCTAGTTACTTACATTAATTCCGGTTGCAGTCATCCCACTGACAGATCTGAAGTCACAGACAATGAAGGCCAACAGGTACGAGCTCATCTTCACACTCACTTCAAACTGGTCCTCAAAAAGACCGTTGCCAATTTCCACAGTTTGTTCCTATAAAATAAATAGTTTCAACATGTTAAAATGATAGACCATGTTTTATGTATTTGATAAATAATTTTTCAAAATTGTTTCATATAAAAAAAATCATATTACCTATTATTATATTAACTATTATTATTGATGATAATAGTAATAATTTTCAAATAATTTAGATTTTACAAATGGGTCTATAAATTTATACAGTAGATAAAAATAACATTTTCAAAATGTCAAATTATCAAATTTTTTATATATTTGTTCAATATTATTTCCCCACATTGTTTACAAGTGATATAGTTTTCCAAATTTATTATTATTATTATGTAAAATAATAATTTATATTAATTTATTAATAATAATTACAAATAATAATAATTTTGAAGTAAATTTGGTTTTACAAATGGGCCTATACATTGATAAATTAGATTAAAAAAAAGAAAAGAAACATTTTCAGAATTTCAAAATGTTGTCCCATCTTTGTTCTATGTTCCATGTATTTGTTCTATATATTTTTTTCCAGTCAAAGTAAATTTGATTTACATTTCCTGTAAATTGATAAAGTAGACATATAAAGTGATCTTACTAATGGCATGTTGGACAAAGCTATATGTGACGGGCCCCTCCGTATTCTGACAGTGTAATTAGCTTTGAAAATGGGCTCATCGAAGCATGGCAATGCCATTCGGGCAGATGTGGGCTCAAAGTGGGTGGATGCCAGGATCCTTCAGGGGAGAAAATTTAGTTTGATTATTTAGAAATTATTTGCAATCTATTCTATGTTATGTTTTTGCATGTATGATTTATGTAATGTTAGATTTCAACCATTTTTACTATACCTTGTCTCTCCTGCTTTTGTCTTATATGTACTCTTATAAAATCCATAGAAGCCATCACTTAACGGTGCACCAAATTCCAAATACAGGAAGTATTTTTCCCCAGAGGTCAGAATCTTTGGGGAGAAGATGGCGATCTGTTCATGTGAAGGATATTCCAGTACCGAGAGCACTTTGTCTGACAGATGGGCCTCGTGCTCATCCAGAACAGTGGCGGTGAAGATCTTGAGGTTCTTGCTGTGTAGCACCACCCAGTTTGTGTTGTTTTTAACATCGATTTCGATCTTCACAGATCCATTGAACCTCAGGGTGGTGAGATTGGGATGAATAAGTAGATGATAATGTACAGGCACTATGTAGTTTGGCAGGCGCACTTTACTCCATGGAAAAGGAAGGCCGTTTGTCGCCAGGTTATCGCCAGCAGGACTATTGCTGTCAGAAGACTGGACACAAAACTGTGCCTCCAGAAAGAACAGGATTACAAGCAAGAGATGCATAATGAATGTTTTTGGTGTTGCTGATTTTGATGGTGATCACTTTCGCATTTTAGAATGGTTAGAAATTGTCACTGTGTCCTGTGAAAAGAAATGCAAAGTTGATGCTCACATGGTGTGTAAATAATTGAAGTAATTGTTTCTTTGTTTTTACTGCACTTAATACCAATAAATCCTTCTTCATTTGTGGTGGCAAGTCACGTCCCTTTGCAACAGTTGAAATAAACTTGAAATACCAAATTGTTTTAAAAAATACTTTTTTTATTTGTAAGAAAAAAGGATTTTACCCCAACTTTACATCTGCTGTGTTACAAAAATGGAATATAAACTCTGATTTTCTCAGAATTATGAGTTTGTATCTCGCAATTCTGTTTTTTTGTTTCTGCCATGAAATAGAAAATTTAAGAATAGATAATTATGACTCTTCTTTCTTCTCAGAATTCTCAGAGTTTATATGTCCAGTTCTGATTTGTCCCAAGAATTGCAAGAAAAAAGCCCAAATTGTGAGATAAAAAGTGGCAATAACCTTTTTTTTCATCCTGCGGTGGAAACAAGCTTCCAAAGCGGGGTGCATGCATGGTGAGTTCAGTCTTTCTAATTCATTTTCATACCTTTCTGACAATTTCATGTATCACACTTAATTAGAAGCTGTGGTGTTACACTGCTTAATATTTCCAAAAATGTATGTGATCTTGAAACTATCATGATGGCAGCTCTGGGCCCTGTTTTAGAAAAGTCTTTATGTGTGCTAAGTACTTTGCACCATTGCTAATAGGCATAAGCACAGGTATTTGACTAAAATTAAAAATCTAAAAGCCCATAAGCTTTCATTTGACTAAATATAGTCTATTAAACAGATTTTAAATACATTATTATTTCAAATTGTCTTATTTTATTTTTATTTTACAAATTCTGCCTCTCGTTTGCCACTCTTAACTGAAGAATGACCTACATTTCATCTTTACTTTGCAATTCACACTGAGCATGTGTCATTCACAAAACACTGTAGACATGCTAGCACGTTTGAATGATCAACATGCTAATTAAAATAAAAGACAACAAACGAGTGTTCTTAAAATAACACGCATGGCAACACACAGCAGTGCTGAGCGACCGTTCTCTGTAATGTGAGCCTATATTCACGTTAATACATTGACATCTGCTGTGATACAGTACGAGCTCTCTAGCTGTATTCTGGCATTTGTTTGTGTCACTATAAAATGTGGTCTCTGTAAAGTAGGACTAGCATCTACTAACAACATTATTGAAGAACACACTCTTTTTAACCATTCAGTGTTGTGTCTTTACCTGAATTTTAGCTGGATCATTGTGTCGGCTGTTTTCATTTTCTCTTTCATTTGTCCTGCCCCCAGTTTCCTGGTTTGCTGCAGTAGCTGCCGAGCATGTGCTGCTGGCTGGCCGTGTCTCTGTATTCAAATGACAACACAGTGGGGCTCGAGCCACCGGACAGAGGAATGACCTACAGCCATCAACACGTACAAACACTCAGCTCATGTCCGAGTTGTAAACATGCCATGTGTCATGTACTGTGACAGAACAAAAACAATGAAATTCTTTGTTGTTTTGACTGTTGTATGATAGTATATAGAGACAAAAACAACCACTGGCAGATAAATTAATTTTGCTTTGTACTTTTTTAATTTTTTAATTTTGGCTTTTCAATACACATTACAAAGTGTTGTTTTTCTATATCTTAAAAAAAAGGGACACAACAACAACAATTAATATTATTATCATTATTGTTGTTGGCACTGTTGTTATTTAACTTGGCAAAAATATTTTAGTTTATCGCCAATAGTTGTATTTTACTTATTTGAGCTAATAACTCAATTTCTGTTTTGGTCTTTCACGATATTCGGTAATCAATGAAGTTTTAAATGTATACAGAAAAAATATATTAGCAAGCCCTGCTATAATTTAAATCAAACTAGAAAAGTATTATAGGCAAAACACATATTGCATTCAACACAATAATGAGTGAATAATCTTAAAACAAACAAACAAACAAACAAATGAAAGGACCCCCTGGTAGCCATCATTGCAGAAGTGAGGGGGACACCAATGTCAATAGTAATACTTTTTTTATTATTCTTTTTAAGTTTATTTATTTGTTTGTTTTTGGCCTAATTGACAAGTTTAATGTTTTTATTATCTCTTACTTTAATTGGCTTAAGTCAGAATGTTTCTGCTATTTATTCAGCTCTGCTACAGCGATAGCTGGATGCCTTTGTCCATATTAGGGCTTTCCTGGCACGTCATAAGTTATTACTTCTACTATTACTTTGAGTATGAATGAAACATGAGAGTGTTCATCGCTCCATAATAATCACATCGCCTCATTTTGGATACGAATAAAACTTCAGGTCATGCATAGACTATCTTGTCTCTTAGATTTATTCACACTGGCCCTTGAAAACTTCTATATGAACACACTTGGCCGAAAAAAGTGTGGGGGATTCTACACCCATGGAAAGGACTGTGTAATACTGTATAATTATTTTGGTATACTTAATAAAATAAAACAGTAACGGTAGCTAAAAAGTTCACCATTTTAAATTGTAATTTTTTTTTCACAACATTACTGTTTCTACTGTATTTATAATCAAATGTATTCAGACTCAACTTCTTTCAAAAACATAAAAAATCTTACCAACCCCAAACTTTTGAAATGAAACTGCTATAGTAAATTTCACAACTAATTACAAAGAAACAGCAAGTAACACTCTAAACTAAACATGAAATTTTGAAGTAGAAAGACTGAAATTTTCTTGTAAAACATCTTTGTTTTATATATTACATCGAAAACATTTTACGTTGTAGTGTATTTTTAAAAAACAAAGGACAAAAACCACTCAGTTGTTGTAGAAATAAGAGTATTTTGAATGATATGATGAAGTGAAATGCCTTTTGGACTGAGTGATTGCTAAATATGTTAGTAATTGTGCTAGCTTCCCTATAAACTCCACAACTCGACTCAAACTTTTCCATCATTACTTAAGACTTGAACCTGACTTGCAAAAATTGACCAGTGTCCAGTGATTGCTGCTACTTTCGTTTGTAAAAGACTTTTAGTAAAGAACAACCTTTGTCCTATACCTGATCAAAACATTCTTTGAAAGTGCAGTTTTATTTCATCCAGATGTACAAAGCAGCAGGTATTGATATGATCAGTCTCTCACCACAGAAGAAACCAACATAAAACAGGTGTGAATCTTTGGAAACAAGCTCCACTTCAAGTTCTCACAAGTATTTACAACATATCACTCCAGAAAGAACATTATATAAAAATACATACTTTGTCTGACAAATATTCTGAAATTCAAATGAGGATGGAACTCATTCACAGTGAGGTGAATGAGCAGATTGTGTACGCTCTTTTTAAATGTTGAATTGCAAGCAAGTTATTTTATCCCATGAATGAAACCTGATGCCAAAATAAGAGTACCGGCGTGTTTAGCAGCACATGTCTTTGTGTTCTCATTTTAGTCCAGCCATACAGTATTTTGGCACAGCTCCCCTGAGACCAACACAAACGATGGAAAGATTCCATGGCGGGTGTGAAATCACATGACTGAAACTTGATAATCCTTTCCACCGGCTGGCTGAACTCACAGAGCTAGACAACATCAACATGCTTCCTACCCTCCTCACCACCATGCTTTTTACAAGTGAGTTGTAGAGTTTATAGGGAAGCTAGCACAATTACTAACATTTGTAGCAATTACAAAGCTCAGGTAAAGGCACTTCATTAAATCATATAATTTCAAATACGGTATTTCTGCAATAACTGGGCTGCTCTTGTCGTTTGTTTTAAAATATATACTACACTGTAAAAAAATGTTTTTTATGTTAATAAAGATTTTTGTCTTTCTACTTCAAAATTTCACATTTAATTCAATGTGTTACCGTTTCTTTGTAATTAATTGAAATTTAGCAGCTTCTAGGTGAAAATTGTCACTACAACTTTTAACAGTGTACAGTTAAAATGTTTGGGGTTGGTAAGATTTTTTAATGTTTTTGAACGAAGTCTCATAAGGCTGAGTATATTTGATAAAATACAGTAAAAACTACTATTTTGAAATATTATTACAATTTAAATTTCAACATCATTACTCCAGTCGTCAGTGTCACACGATCCATCAGAAATCATTCTAGTATGCTGATTTGGGGATGAGAAACATTTCTTATTATTATCACTGTTAAAAACAGCGTAATATTTTTGTGGAAACCGTGAAACTGGCCCCAAATATTTATAACCATCTATGTACACTAATACTAACATTTCTGAATTTTGTTCTCATCTCTGAAGTGGGATCAGACGCTGTCCCTTATGCCATCTTATCTCCACCATTTCACTTGAACACTGATCTCAGAGGCTTGACCATCCTGGTGTGTGTGCTTCATGACATTCATCAATGAGAGCTGGAGGTCACCTGGATTTCTAGTGGCACCAGAGGAACTAATCCAGCAGTCCCTACCTTACTCCAAGGACACAGTGGCATTCAGAGCACAATGTCTGTTATATCTGTGCCCACGAGTGAATGGATGTCCTACACCTGCTTTGTGAGTCACAGAGACTCCGATCAACTCGTGCACAGACATTATGCTGGACTCCCAATGGAGACAACTGGTAAACTCATCATTATTATCATTATTGCATCATTATATATAAAATGGGTTCCAATTATTAACATTTGTTAGCTATTAGTTCACATGAACAAACAATAAAAAATCTATTTTTCTTAGTTCATGTAGTAATTTGAACATTCACTAATATACTATTATAATCCAAAGTTGTATCTGATAATACCTGAGCTAACATGAACTACTGTAACAATGAACAGCTGTATTTTTTTTATTAACTACCATTAACAAAGATGAATAAATGCTGTAACAAACGTATTGCTCATTGGTAGTTAATGTTAGGTAATGTATTACCTAAAGGGACCTTAATGTAAAGCGTTACTGTAAAATGTATTACCAATAAGCTGTTATTTGTTCAAGCTCTCAGAATGATCCTCCTCAAAATCACCATTTTCAACGTTTTGATGACAGTGCAAGCCGTCATAAAGTGGTAAGTGCTCATATTACTGCAAATGCAATGCCAGTAGTGAAATAATTTATGCACATTTTTCACAATTATACTGAAACCTGTCATATTTCTTGTCTGCAAAACTGCAGAGTTTCAAAAACAACTGCCATGGATGTCAGAGTTAATTGGACGTGCTGTTGGAGGTTTATAGCAGGAGGAGGAATTCCAGCTGATGTAAATGAGAATCTGGAATGTTGATGAGGGTCTCGATGAACTTCAGAGCAACATCACGCCACAAGACGCAGGTGCTTCGATATGTGGGCAGATGAGTGAGATAGCTGCTCAAAACCACATCATGTACACAATACAACAAATGCACTGCACTACAAGCTGCTTTTGTAGGCCATTGTCAAAAATAAAAGCTTTAAATGGCATTGTAAAGTCAGCTTCCACTAATGTGACACTGTTGAACTCTTGAACGTGACAATGATGAACCTTTGATGAAACTGTCTGTATGGCATGAATGAGATCATTGTGCATAACACTCTATCAAAGATTGAGACAGTTTCATTTCATTTTGGGAGATTTGTGAATGTGACAACAGTGCTTCATCAAGATTTGTTTGCATTTATTTTTGGAGCATAAATATTCACAATTTGTTTTAATTACACTACCGTTCAAAAGTTTGCTGTTTGTAAGATTTTATAAAATGCTTTTTAAAGTCTCTCCAAGCTCACCAAGGCTGCATTTATTTGATCAAAATACAAGAAAAACAGTAATATTCTGAAATATTATTAACCTTTAAAATATGTGTTTTCTATTTGAATATATTTTCGAATGTAATTTATTCAAGTGATGGCAAAGCTGAATTTTCAGCATCATTACTCCAGTCTTCAGTGTCACATGATTCTTCAGAAATCATTCTAATATGCTGATTTGCTGCTCAAGAAACATTTCTTATTATTATTATCAGTGTTGAAAACAGTTGTGCTGAATATTGTCGTGGAAACAGCGCAACATTTTTTTTCACAATTCTTTCATGAATAGAAAGTTCAAAAGAAGAGCATTTATTTGACACATATTTTGTAATATTAGGCTATACGTGTCTTTACTGTCACATTTGATCAGTTTAATGTGTCCTTGTTGTATAAAAGTATGTAAAAAAAAAAAAACTTAATGACCCTTAAATTTTGAACGGTAGTGTATATTACTGAAAAATAGAAAAATGTTATTAAGAGCACTTGACTTTGTAGAACGAAGTAGAACTTAATTGCTTGCACGTTTACAACTCTGCTATAGTGTTGTACTACGATACTTTTGGTATGCTAGTGCTACTTTGGTACTGTGTTACATTGGCTTGTGTTCTTGCTTTGGATATAAGCATATGCCACATTAATAAATGTAAATGTACATGCCAATTAATGTATATGGCAATTAATGATTACACCACAACTGAAAAGCGTAAAAAAAAAAAAAAAATTAAAGCCAGTGCATTTATGTATTTTTAATTTATTGTTTTAAATAACTCATTTTTTCTTTTTTTTTTCTTTTTTAAACAGCATCCGTACAATACTAAAACACTGATGTAACAACGGTGACCCACTAGGTGGCAGTACAATCACATCTCAAACGTTTTTCAACAGCAAGAGTATGGAGCTTAACTTCTCTAACAAGACACTATATTTCATAAATAATTTAAGTATAAACATTGAGCAGTCACTCTTTACAAAAACAATGTTCACAACAAAAGTAAGAGATCACAAGATCAAATGCGAAATGCAAAAACACAGGATGAAGTTATGCAGTTAGATAATTGCACTCTGATGCCTTGTTCTGGTTTATAGGGGGGGGGGGCATCCCACTGTACACTGATTTAGGCCATTCGGCCAATCAAATGATCCTGTTTCAGATCCGGCCAATCACCGCCTGCGAAACTCGCAGTGTTCCAAATACAATCGATTACACTTGTCACAGTATTGTAGCAGCTCTTTAGCACTGGCAGTAGTTAAACAATGATGTCTCTACAGTAGCAAGTCTTGGTTTTGATTTTGAAACATGCGTATTAGGAGTGTTGGCATGGCTTCCATAGCAGTTGGACAGAAAGGCCCAGAAGGAATACAATTCGATTTCATCAAATGAATTGTGTGTCCATCAGGCCAAATGCCATACTCAAAGCAAATAGAGACATAAGCGTTTCTGAATATCCTTCATTTGCTTTGAAAGCTCTCTGAATGAAATCACTAGGTTCCCGCGGTGCGAAAGGCCCTAATACCACACCATCGCTTTTGGCCAAATAAAATGTATAGGGAAGCACACAGTACGTCTGGCAAAAGATCTGATATGTGTTGCTTCTGCGTCATATCTTTGGTCAAGGATAAAACAAGAACGTGAGGGAACTTGACACTTTGAACAGATAGTCAATATTTGTTTGGCAAAGGGACAAAGCTAATAAATCTAATCTTGCGAGAAGCCATTCTAGAAGTCCGTTTGTGCGACTAGGAATGAGAATAACACTTATGCAACATCCATTTTCCAGTTCACTCAATGAGAGTCACTCAGTATGAAATTAGATGAAACTTTTAGCATAAATATTTTGGTGCACTCTTCACGATTGATGTTTTGTGTTCGTACATTAGGTAGACTTTGCACCAAACAAAAGAAATTCTGATTGTCATTTATAAAATGGACCAAACTCCCAATACAATTCCAATATTCAACAACAGAAAAATTTCCACTTGAATTTCTGAATTAAGTGCACTTCAACCTTCGTCTGCTGCATTTGCCTGAATTCTTCAACAGCTGAGTAATTAACTAAAAATACAGATAAAGTGAAAGTCTAGTCAATATGATCCTTCTTTAAACCTCTATCACACAATCACTACGCCAGCCACATTGTGAATTTTTTTTAAAACGGTTCTACAAGAACAAGATGGTGAGGTAAGTACCATTTGTATAGAGACCTACAGAAATGTATCAAAGAAAAAGCGCCGAGTGTAAGATTATTGAGCACTGGTTCCGTGGAACAGTTTTCTAGTTGCAAGAACCAAAAAAATAAAATAATAATAATAAAATAAAATAAAGTGCTTCCATTAAGATTTCCTCTCCTGAGGACAAAAACAGGAAATCTCAAAAAATTCACTCACAAAAATCTACAATATTCAGCTCTCTTGAAAACATGATTTACACAAAATGTACAGTCTAATGAAGGTTAGAACATTCATTCTCCGCACAGACAGTATATACAAAGTACTCTTTACCCAGAGTACTGACTTTTTACAGTCTCGTTTTGTCTTTTTCTTCTTCGAAACAGTTATCAAAACACTGTACACCTTATAAAAGCACAGTGATGAGGAAGCCGGTTAGCAGTGCATTGAGGAGCAATGAAAACGGCCTCAGCCCAGGGGCTGAGTTAGGAAAAATATGCCAGTGCTCCCTCTTGGGGTGCAGAGTCTCCATGTCCTTCAGGGCGTTGTAGGCGGCAGCGGTGAAGTTCGCATCTCCTGTGGTGAGCAGGTCAAACACGCAGGAGTGGAAATAGATGTCCTTAACCTCCAGTTGCTCCCTGCACTTCCTGGAGGCGCTTTCGAGGGTGAACACCCCTCTCTGGGCTTCGACCCTCGCCTGCTGCTGAAAGCTGGCCTGCTGGAGGCCCAGCATGGGCAGCTGAAGATGTCCCTCTTGGTCGATACGTTCTGAAGTGGGGCAACCGTTCATGCAAAGCTGCAGGTCCTGCGTTTCGTCGAAGGCCATGGCGAGCTCTTCTGGCATGCGCACGGCTAGCGTCAGGTAACGGCCCTGCTGGCGTATGATTATGGTGACACCGATGTATGTGGCGTGGATCTCTACGTGCCGACCTGGCGACTTCTCCAGGATCCAGATGCTGCGGGTCTCGCTATCGCCCCCGCTTATGGTGCCATCCACAAAAGCAGCTGGAAGGTCGTCTGTTACGGCCTGGTAGACCTTCTGGTCCGTGCATTCTTGGTATGGTTTGAAGATTATTGTGATCTTAAAAGAAGCAAGAAAGCATAGTTAAAAACTCCAGTATTCACCAAAAACATCGAAGTTGACATGAAATGGATATTCACCATATCTATTTTCTAAATGCATGTTATTGATCTTTTTGTGAATGATTCATCAATGCATACGCTTCCATTTTTCTTTTTTGTTTTTTTTCTTTTGACCTTTTAATTTTTAAACCAAATTGTCACAAATGGATCTTCTGGTGGACTTGACCAATCATTTAGTCTGCTTAAACTTTTTTTTTTTTGATAATCTGTTTTACTGTAATATATCACATTTCAGAAGAAAAGGTCTGGTGTTACGTCCACTTACTGCATTTGATGGTGAAGTGCAAATATTCTGCACTAATAGCTGAGATTAACCGATATTGCTTTTTTATTATTTTTTGTTTAGGTGTCTGACAACAAATATGTTGAACTGATTTTTTTCTCTTTTACACATAACTAAATGATCACTAGATTACAACAATGAAAACATGTATTATTATTATTATTATTATTATTAAAGGGGTGGTTGATTGCGATTTCACTTTTTTAACGTTAGTTAGTGTGTAATGTTGCTGTTTGAGTATAAACAATATCTGCAAAGTTACGAAGCTGAAATTTCAATGCAAACGGAGATATCGTCTTTTAAAATTCTGGCAGTTTAATGCCTACAAAAACGTCTCGTAGGGACTACAAGAAGTTACTTCCTGGTTCGTGACACAAAACCCAGATAAACCCCGCCCTCGGGAAAAGGCAGCAAAGGGGGCGAGGCCATGCTGCGCTGCTTTAGAGAAGAGGAAGAGGAAACTAGAGGTGCACGTAAAAATCTATCTATATATGAATCGTGATTCTGTCTTCTAACGATTCTAATGGATTCACAAGTTTCAAAATCAATGTTCTAAAGCAGCGGTTCTTAATACTGCCCCCCCCCCTGCACACACTCTGTGTGTCTCTCTCTCTCTCTCATTCAGCTCAGCTCCAACAATGAACTGTTCCAATTATACATTTTTTACACATAGCTATGAGAAGCGTTAAACATGGACGTGCAGTTGCCGTACTGTATTAAAACTTTAATCAGGATAAAACCATATATTAAAAGCTAACATAAGCAGTAGCATTTACAAATAACAGCATATCTAAAAGTATGAGACAACAACAAACAAAAAACATAGGCCTACCATTAAAAGCAGTGCTTGCACAGGTTCTGCACGATCTTCTTCAATAATATCCTCTGCTTCTCAATCGGGCTCAAACTGATAAGCGATATTAACGACGCCGTTGTTTACAATACAACCAGAGCACATGCCGCTGAGGAGAGGGGCGGGACGTTTACCACACTAGAGGCGGTTTAGCCAATCACAACACACTGGGCTAGATAACCAATCAGAGCCCATCGCCTATTTCTGAGGGAGGGGCTTCATAAAAGCAGGAAAT